AATTTCTTCATGGAGAGGGTGGTCAAGCATTGAGATGATCTTTCCAGGGAAATGGTTGCATTCCCAAACCTGGAGGTACTTTAGAGAGGTGTGGACAAGGCACTAAGGGACAAGTTTCACTAAGGGTTTAGTGATGGGACTTGATACGTCAGGTTGATGATTGGAGTAGATGTTCTTTTGTCCGACTGCCCTTCTGCTGCCATCTGTTGTATGGCAACAAAATGTAACAGAATATTGGCAGGAAGGTTTAACTTGTAAAATCATACCAACATTTGCCTCTGATGTTGTGGGCCAACATTATAAAATAGAAGGCATTACTTTCGGATCAGCTCCTGTTTGAATCTGCAATAGGAAAATCATTATCTTAGATCTCTGATAAAGAAAACTTCTATAAGATATTAATATAACGAAGTTGCAGGAACTTGAAGAAGGCCTGAGTCAAAATTAGCACCTACACTGTACGCCTGAATCATAATCAAATAAGCAGTGTTTCCTCTAGGGATAAAGGAAGAAGTGGGACAGAGTGATGAGGCAGGAATCTTTTTTAGCCTTGTTGTGTCTGAGCTGATACTAGGACAACAGAAGACATTAGAGATGAAAATCAACATCTTAGTTTATTAAGGCGAAAAGGAAGAAAATTGTACTGATTTTTTTAGCTGAAAGCCAAAATGTTGCAACTTTTTTTGTGTGTTTTAGAACAAAAGCCACAGTTTTTGATCTTTTAACTACTGATAATGGCATCACAAATCCTCACAGCCCTAACAGGTTGGTAGCATAGTTGGATATAACAAAAATATGATGGACTGTGTTTGTTTTGTTGAATTACTTTTAAATTTGTTGTTGATCATCAAATATTTACTGATAGTTCCCAGGAAAGAATGGACCATCCGCTGTGTTTATAGGAGTCCTACTGACACACCGGATTTGGAAAAGACTAAAATGACTTGAAAGATCGTGTGTCAGGTGCAGGGATGATGTGTCACTGATGGGCTGTGTGCTGTCATATCTTGTCATCTGCAGCATACAGGCAATTTGGGGTAATGAGGAGGAGAGGTATAGTGCTTTTTTGTTAAGCTTCCACCCAAAGCTACTGAACAAGCCATAGCCAACCATAGGGAGTCTGCTGGTTCCTAATATAGTCACAATCCGAGGGGCACGAGGGTGGTTTAAGGCCACTTTCTGCATATTCATCTTGGCTTACTCCATCTCTTTCACATACAGAAATCATCCCTCCTTTCCTATACTGTTCGGTTTCTGTTATTATTTGTATACTGTTTGGGTAAAAGAGTAAATAAAGAGTAAATAAAGTGAAACAAAGGAGTGTAGGCTCATTGCAGTGAAACAAGAAGCAAGGAAGGAGTCAAGGTTATTCCTTTTCTAAGCTGCATGTATGTTTCTCATATGTTAAGTGCTAGATCATTTGAGGTTAGGAATTTGCTAGATTTTACTAGGTGGTGATCCTGGGAGATGGATGGAAAAAATGACAGAGGGAATAGTTGATGTTGCTGCACCAATCTTTCTGCTCCTCTCCAACAGAGGAAATCATTCTTGCATTAAGCACTGAGCTCCTTTGTCTTGAAAGACTGAAGTCTTGTCTCCTTGAAGCATTGAATCTTCATCATAGATTTTTTAAATGTCTTGACTTGTACTAGTAGTGTGAAGGAATATCATGAAAGACTCAGACCTTGTCTTTATGAAAGCAAGCTGTGACCTGAAAGAACTTTTGCAACCTCTAAATGAATGTATCTAATGAAGAAAATCCTTAATCAATAATTTATTTTTAACACCACGTGCACTTGGCTTCATACCAAGTTGCAGAAGGCTTTTGGTTTCTTGCTTTTCCAATGTCCTAGCAAGCAGAGAAGTTGGTGGGGACAGTATGATGCAGAAGGGACAAGAGGCCACAGGGACTTAGCCCAGCTCTGATATTTGGTGGCTTTGTAACCCTGGGCAAGTCACTTTACTTAAGAGATTACTACACACAAGCTTGTCCCATGTCTAATGCAAGGATTAGCAAAGCTGATGTGTGGCCAGAGCATCTAAGAGGTGAGAGCTATGTGATCTTACGTTGTGTCTTTTGTCCTGCTATACCCCTCTCAGTATTATCCAGCAGGAGGGGTGTGTGCCACCAGCCTTAACTTTCCTTGAGCCTTCTTTGCAATGGCTATCACAGAGCAGGGTTTTTTTTACATTTTTACAGTAGGATGACCAGTGCCATCAGTCTTACATAGGCATGATGTTCTTTCTTTCATTAGGTTTTTCTGTTTGAAAAACACTTCTTGAAAGCCTTTCAGAATGTGTATCATCTTTTATGGAGTTACTCACACACATATAGATACAGATACAGATCTATATACATAGCATTTAGTGGGGATTGGGTAGCTGTACGGTGGTAGAACTGGCACAACACTTGGAAGTGCTTAAACCCCTTTCTTTGGCCTATTTAGAAATCACGTGTACTGCTCCTGTGCCATGTAATGTGCCAGTGCCACATTGGCTTGCACAGAGATGGAGGCAGGTGCAGAATGATGCCCTTGTTTAATCGAAAATCTCCTAGTTAGGGGCTATCCTAAAAAAAAAGCCATCATACTGTAGGGAATAGGGTTGGCGGGTGACCAGCTGCAAATTTGAGCTCAGAAATGCTAGATGCAACACAACCATATCGTGCTTGTGGAACCATCCCTGCAGCATTTATTTCTTGCACTTGACCACTGGGGAATGTGTTTGTCGTCCTTCTCACTCCTGTCACGTTAGGGCTTTGTCAAATCAGAATACATCGTTGCTGTGCTTCTCTATGTCCCTTGACTTGTCAGAGGCACAAATCTTTTTCAGATGCTCTCCCCTGTTCACTTCCATTATTATATCTGCTGCTTCTGGGTGGCAAGCATAAATGAATAACCTTGTAAATGCTCCCTGTCTTTCAATTTGTTTTATTTTCCGTACAACATGTCAGTGCATTTTTGTTGAGTGTTTTTAATAAGATGATGCTGATGAAAATAAATTGCTTTGCAGTTCCTGCTGTGGGTGACAGAAATGCTGGGTCTGTAATTTTCCAAAACTGTGCATTTGAAACAAGTGTAGAGGCTTTTCTGTATGCCTGTAACCGCAACCATCTTCATGAAATTCCTTGCAGGGAAAAAAAAAGCTATCAGTTTGAATTTTGGGGGCAAGATGCACTGCTGTATCCAGCTTCTGCTGGGCACAGTTAGAGAAGGAGCTGTGAAAGAGAATTTTAGGATTCCCTGCCACATTTGGGTGTGCCGCATGAGATATTTAGTCAAGTCTGTCTCTAGTGTGAGAAGGAGAAAGAGTTATATAGCAAACCTTATTGGAGTGTCTGTTAGCCAGAATTTGGGAAGTCAGGGCTGGAACTTGAAAAGGTGAATGCTGCAGTGCCCGTGGCTGCTGCACATCAGCTTTCTTCTGACTGTTTCAGTGTCTTGCTGGAAAAGGGCAAGGCAGGTAAATGGTTATCTCCTTGTTATCAGTCTGGTGAGTACCCATCTCTTCCAGGAGTGAAGGTAACCTAGCTGTTTCAAATGTGATTTTTGAGTCAAGAGTTTTCTTGTTGCTCACTTAAGTGAAAAATTGTCAATATTGCCATATTTTCATAACTTGTTTTTTATTTTGTTAAAAAATGCAGAAACTATAGATACAATTCCCTAAAGTTTAGAAATTCATCTTGCTGTCTGCCTTTTTATGCTCTCATCTTACTTAGCTAGCTATCAAGACAGTGTTAATGTCCGTCCCTTGCTGCATTCTGTGCTGCACTTCTGGAAGGGAAGCACTTTCTGTTTTTGCTGGCTAGGGTACAACATGTGGCTGATGCACAGTAGCTGCAGATGAAACAGGAGCTCAGGTCCCACTTCTGCAACTTGAAGGCTAATGCTGTTATTATTAAACCATTTTACTATTTTTACTACTTTACTTTCCATAGACTCCATCAACTATTCCATCCTTTGGTAAACTTTGAAAACAGGAATTATTAAGCTCCCAATTTTATAAAACTTTTCTCCTCCTTCTGTTTCAGAGATTTTCCCTGAGATTACATTGCTCGAGGTACAGAAAAGGAAATATCCGGGATTCATGTTTTTCACTGTCCTCTCAAATTTGAAAAGTTGGATTAATACTAGTAGTAAAGCTGGCTGGTTGTAAAGTGAAGGTTCAGTTGATGGTGTTGTGCTACTTCCTTAAGGAAACTATTAGGCTCTGTTATGCAGCATTTACAGAGATTTATGCTTAGTTTTCTTCTATTTTGCTGTCTTTCATTACATCCACTTACAGCAACAAGATGGTCCATCCATGGCAGGTTCTTTTCTTCCAGAAGATTTCTCTTTTCTCTCTTTGATTGTCAGGAGTGCTGTATGAGGACTGGGCTCTCCTCTCTCACTCCTAGGTTCCCACTGTGCCGCATTTATTCGCTCAGTGTCACATTCTTCACATGTGAGTTGGGGGAACAGCTGCTCCAGCAAATCACTGCTGTTGAGCAGCAAGAGCTGAAGCCCTTTGTTTAGGCTGCACACATGTAATTCCTTTGATCTTTTCTCATAATTTAAACTATTCACCTTTTTCTGAACTCCCTCTAGTTTGTTGGCATCTGTCTGGATCCTGACTGTCTAAGGCAGAGGACAGTTTTGCCAAAGCTATTTTATAAAGGAACTGTCAGCTTGGTTAAAAGACATGAGCCTTCCACAGCAGCTTTAAGAGCTGCCATGAAAGCTTATACTCGATTCTTCTCTTCTTCCCCTTCTTGTCCTTTGGAGGCATTTTTGGCCTCAGTGAAATACTGACTTGTTTCAAGTCATTGGTTTATGTGAAATTTGCAGAAGAACGCTGTTTAAAAATATTATTTTTTCTTTTAAAATTCTGATTCTCTTCATTTGTTTCCAGAAGTGTTCTCCTTGACCAAATGTAAAAATGTTTGAATGTAGCTGTGTGTGAGAGGCTGGTATGATAGTGTACTTACAAATCCTGACTTCGTTGTTTTTTTTTTTTCCTAGGTACTTGGTGCTAGAACACGTGTCAGGTGGGGAGCTCTTCGACTATCTTGTAAAAAAGGGAAGATTGACACCAAAAGAAGCCAGGAAGTTCTTCCGACAAATCATCTCTGCTTTAGACTTCTGCCATAGTCATTCAATATGGTGAGTACAGTCATTTCCAACAGGAATTACCTGTTACATAAAAGCACATACTAAAAGCATCCTGTTCCTGACACTTACTTTTAAATAACCGATGTTGTAAAGCTGTAAAGGCATTGTGTGAAGTGCTGGCATGTTTTTAAATTCTTGGCTGTCTGTGAGAATATGTACCAGTCAGAAACAGACTTTTCATGGAGAACGTTATCTTTGGAAGAGAATTCATTCATAGGGAATGGTTTAATCAAGAAAACCAAAACCACCATGGAAAAGCTTTTTAATTTCCATCATTCTTTGGGGCACTTACTAATAACTGAGAATTACAAACACTATTTCAAAATGAGTCCCTAAAGAAACTTGGGACAGATACCAATGCAGCCAAGTTATTTTATGGCTTCCTTCAGTTTCTGGAAACCTGCTGGCTTTTGGCAACTTTGCCCAAGTCCCTTCTGGGCATTTGAGTCATTGTTGCCTTTAATTTCCTATCCAGTAGGGAAGAATTTGCTTGATGTGTCTGGAGTTGATATTTACAAACTCCATCAGATGATTTTACCATGAAGTATGGTTTAACCTGCTCATTTGGGTGATGTTTTAAATTGGACCAGTTCCTACTTAATCTTCAGCAAGTTTAGCTAATTTAAATTTTACTGAAAGCAGTTGTTATGATGAGTCTGAGCATGCGGTTTCTGTACAGCTGCTGGCCTGCTTATTTCTCAGAAATGCAGCCCCTTGCAGTAAGATTGGCTGGGGAAGACCATTTACATTATGTCTGTGTGGTTCTTCGTAGCCACAGACAGCCACAGATCTCCCCTCTGCAGGAGGCTGCGGGCTGCTGTTAGATACTGCAGTAGCTGGGTTTGCATAATCACCCTGTGGATACTTCTCAGTAACAATACAGTGATTTCTGTAACCCCCAGTTTTGTGCTGAGAACTCACGTACCAGGTATCTGCAGCACAAATGGCATTTATGTGTGCTGGGCAGTGTAAACACTGGTGGATTGCATACATAGATGGCTCTGTTCACTGCGTGGCTTCATGCTTAGAAATCTGATCCAAGAAGCCTCAAATAATGTTTAAGTACAACTGAAAAGAAATTATGTATTCTTTCAAATGAATATTCCAAAGAAATATGATTCACAATTGGGACAGAAGTTTCTATGAAAACATGCACATCAGTCCTTTGGGCTTTTGTTGGATGCCTCGTGACATGTCTGAATAATAAACTCAGCGAGGCTCGTGGTGAGGCTGTCAACATGACAGACAAGCATTTCTGCAGGTTTAAGGATATGTGGAATTTCCAAGGCAGAGTGCACGTCTCTCTTGAGGAATCCATTTTCCTCTGTTAAACATATTGGATTGTAGGCAGTAGTTCTTGTTTAGAAGTAAATCCCCTGTCTCCTTGCCAACTCCCACTCTACTAACATCTAGTGCTGAATAAGCTAGCAGTAAATCATAAGCTCTCCTTCCCTCCCGGTCACTCTGAGAATTGTGTGGTTGGTGTTATACTAGACTCTGTGTGATATTCTGAACAGTTATCATAAACCCTTTTTGAGAATCAGAGCATGCATAAATACATTTGTGTGCATCTGTGTGAATATAAAAGTTAATGTGCTTTCCTAAGCAATGAAGCCTGACCTTGTCCTGTCGTGGGGCACTGAAATGACAAATCATCTCATCAGCCAGGTTATCCAGTTATGACCACGTTGAAAAATGAAGGCTTCTGCTTTGGTTAATGACTAAACGTGTGTGCCTCTAACTCACTGGCAGAGTGGATTGATAGCCTGGTGTCCCTAGACCCATATCATCGTCCGATCTTCTTCCAATACCTCCCAAAACACAGAGAAGCATCTGTGGCTTGCTTTTACAGCAGTATGTAGCCGCGTTCAGCTTTCACTGTTCAAAATGTGTTGATGCATTGGGATTCATGGATCAAAAAATCAGAAAGGATTCCCCAGTGCTGCCATCAATAAAAGGCTTCTGCTGCTACTGTATAGAGAGATCACCTGTGTCTGAGAAGGACTTCGAACAAGCAGCTCAGACAAGGAAGCTTGAACGTGCTTTCATGTTGTTTTTAAAAAAGTAGGAGCTTTCCATTATTACATAGGTTGCTCTGAAAGTAATGCCTCTTATTTATTTCCATGGAAACTACAACAGTTACAAATAACACAATAACACGATTTGATAGAGCAGACTCTCAGCTACAAAATGCTATTTTTCACCAGAGTCACCATCATTAGCTATGTATTTTTGTTGGTAATAAACAAGAGCCAGATGCTACGCTTATAAAAATCTGCACCAGCAGAAGTGACCCACTGTTTCACAGCTGCTATTATGGCACCATTGCTAGGAAAATGTTGCCCATGCAGTCCGACTTTCACTTTCCGAGTTTTGTTGGACTCACAAAGATGCTCACATCCACTGGTTGGTCTCCATAAACATTTAGCAAGTGTCAGTGAACGTCACTGACTGCCATTTTTTTCTGCATAGTGGAATGCAGTGATTCATCTTTGCCTCATCTGCACTTCCACATCAGATGCCATTCTGTCACACGGCCCCTCTGCTGTCATCTGTTGCACAGCAACAACATGTAATGAAATTTTGGTGGGAAGGTTCAACCTCTATTGCCATACCACCAACATCCACCCTTGATGTCGTGGGCCAACATAATAAAATAGAGGCATTGCTTTCAGAGCAGTCCTAGTATTTTATTTAGTGGAAACTAGGAGCAGATATTTGAGGTACCTCACCCTGGGGTGCAGTCACAGTTTGGTGGTGTGCTTACCTGTGGGGAAAAAGCTCTCAGATAACCTACTTCTCAGTAAGGGCTTCCCATGCTGTGCTAGGGACCCTTTTTTGAAAAGCAGTGCTGTGCAGAGCTATTATATGTGATCCTGTGAACAGCGTATCTGTGTTACCCTGGTGCTTTGCCTGAGCTAGCAAGCAGAATGGTGAGCTCAGTGATGCAGCAGCACTGCTCCTGCTTCCAGCTCTGTGCTAGCTCTGAGGGCTCTGTGCTGTGCTGCAGCACACAGATGTGCTCAGAAGTGATGCAAGAAATGGCAGAATAACCTGGAATCCCTTGGACATAACACCTTGCTAGCTAGGACAGAGGTTTTGGATGTAACTAACGATTTTTTCCTAAGCTACCAAAGAACGGGTGTCTTCTCTCTTACATCAGTGCCTTCAAGATGTCTGAGCTGAATGCTGCGAATCAATAATCCTTTTGCATATCTTGCATCCATAGTATGGGAGAGCTCTCAGCTAATTCAGCATCACCTATAATTACTTTAAAACAATGTGGGAGCAAATACTGGGGTAGGTTGCAAATCCTTGCTTTCCTCAGGAAGAGGCTCCTATTTGCAGCAAGGGAATGCTGCAGCACGGGAGGAGGTGGGAGCCGGGCAGAGTGAGCTGGCGGGTGCCGCATTGGCTGGGGGTGACATCACCACCAAAAGCTGGGATTGGCCGCGTCCTTATTTTGTGTGTTGGGTTTGTGCTTTGGTCAAGCTCATATTTGGTGTCTGTATCTCACAAGCTGACAAATAAAAATATGATTACAGAAAATGCCCCGTGGCAAACCTTATTACGGCTTCAGAGATAACAGATAATGCCAATTACTGCACAGGGCAGTGGTGACATTGAGAGGAAATTCCCTGCGGTAATGAGCAGCAAGATTATTATTTCATTTTATTTTTATTTTGGTTGGGTTTCATTTTGTGTTATGTTTTGTTGTGTTTTTTTTTTTTTTTTTCATAGCATGCACAGGAGGGGTTAAGGCAGTTTCTTTATGAATATTGATAAATGACAATTATGAGGTCCCTTTCTCCTTTTATTGCCTGGGGCTGTGCCTGCTTGAGTACTCACAAGGATCTTGCTGAAGTGTGTCTGTGTGTGTGTGCATAGGCATGGGGGTGTGTGACTTAGAGAGCTAAAGCAACGAATAAGAGCTTTGTTTGGCTTTGCCTTGTGTTCTTGCCATCGGTGCAGGGGGGGAAATGGCTCCTTATAAAACAGAGCTTTCAGATTTCACAGCAGTGATGCTAAAATCTCTTATATATTACTGCAGGCAGGAGCTGCAGAGCACTGTCAGTAGAGGAAACATGCCTTTATGAAGAAATCTGGAATGCCTTCAAGAAGCAGAGAAAGCCAAAGAATGCCAGGTGCCACGAGTAACCTGTCCTGTTAGGTAGTACCACCTTCCTAGTGCCTCCTGCTTTGCTTTGCTTCTTTCATATGGAGGATGCAGAGATGTGTGTCCACAGCTGGACACTTTGAAATTATGACCCAAAGCCTCCAAATGTGAAAGTAGGGCTGAAACTGTGGAATTTAATAATGTTGATTTCTGGTATTTCTTCTGGGAGTCTTTGAGTCTTTAGATTTTGAAGTTTTCTTTTAGACCATCAAATTAGAAATGTACCTTCTTCCCTTGATGAGAGCTGAGATTTGCCAATCTTTGCCTGAATCCAGGAGCTACATATCTAGGACTGAGACTCACTCTAAACAGTGAGGAATTTAAACATTTTCTTTGTACAAAAAAACTGGAGAAATAACATTAAGTACAGCAGCTGCAATGTCAAAAACAAAGTTACCAGCTCAGCTGAAGTCAGAGGATATGTATTTTCCTAAGTTTATTTCTTTAGGTAAGCCACTGGAAACTCAAAAATGGCATAGTCTTAGTGAAAGCATAACCAGGTAGCATTCTTTGGCAATGTATTCATGGTGACTTGACAGTCTGTTCTGTCTCTGGAATACAGGAACATATGTTTTGAGGCAAGGTTTTTAAGGAGGGGCAGTATATATTAATGCATCACTAGAAATAATTATATTAAAAACAGACAAGGTTTCAGGCATTCAAGCACTTCTTCAGGATTTCTGATATGTTTAGAGATCATGTCCTTTTCCTTAGCTGTATTTGCTTGTTCTGCGGGATTCTGTGAAATATTACTAAATTTGAGCATAGCAACCATGACTCTTAAAGAAAGATTCCTCTGTAGGTAGATGCCAGTTACATTTGGATCTTATTTGCAGAAGCAAGAGAAAATAAGACAAAGGGCTTTTTCTGCTTATGAAAATTAAAAGTCTTGCTTCTCATACTAGTAACACTGATAAATTATTTGCATCACATCAGGCTTCTGCTAAGCACTTTTAAGAGGCATACTGCAGAACAATTATTCTGTGGTTGGGCCCTTCTGGGATTTTGGGGTCAGTAAGAAAAGCATTTGCAAAGTAGCCAACAATTTGATTAGTACAAATGACCTGCAACTACACCAATTAGGAGGTTTCTTGGATTAGAAATCTATGACCTACAATGAGTTGTCATAGAAACTGATAGGAATGTTTCAGCACAAAAATCACTTTAAAATAATGGGTTGGTTCATCATCTTGTGCCAAATGACATAGTTTCCTTGAATCCAAGATCTTGAATCTGTCTCTACAACCAAAATCTTCTGCCAACCCTGGGTGAGAGGGAGAGGGTGGCTGTTTTACTTCCATTTTTAACTGTGCTGCAATTGTCTGCAGTACAACTCTCTAGAACAGGCTAAGAGAGGCAATGGAGGGAGCTGGAGGAGCTTGCTGGATAGCATCACTGGGAGTGACCAGATAGTAAACTTGGCCAGTCTGTGTGTGTGTGAAGCTGGACACATTAATGAATGTGCAGGACTTTCATTTTCTCTGAACCACCTCTGAGGATTGTGCCCATTTCCGTGGAACCCTTTTTTCAGACCTCTATCTCTTTCTCTCTCGGTATCCTCATCTTGTGCTGCAGTGGAATTGTAAAGCCTTTGTTGTAGTCCGTAAAAGAGGGATGTTGCAGAGAGCCTGATGGTGTCATAGCTTATTTAATGGCTCCCTTTCAATCCCACAGTCTCCCTTCAAAAGCCTGCTGCATGCATGCAAGCTCATGGAGCTGACTTCTTACTCCGGTGTCTGAGGTGAGGAGCTCTGGGCAGTCTGTGACCACCCTGGCTCAGGATTTCAGCGACTTCTGCAGGGCTGCTTTTCCCTTTCAGATTCTTTTTCAGCATATGAAGGGCTCAAGAGGAATGCTGGCCATGTTTGTCACAAAATAAGTTGCTTTCTCTATTCTGATTTACCAGCCATGTGCTAAGCCCCTACAGCTTTAGAGTCTTTAGAACAACCAAAAGATAACAAGTCCTCTGTTCCACCTGCAGAGAGAGGAGATGATGTGGTCACATAAAACAGAGAATCAGAGAGATCAGCTGGAGAGGGACCAAGTTAAAATGCATTTACTCTGCAGTGTTCCATTAATGCCAACTAATTACCAGATACAGTGGGATTTTTGTTTTGTTTTGTTTCATTTTGGCACAAGAGAATTCTTTCCAAATATGAATGCATAAGGCCATCCAGGCAGATAGGCTCCTAGGTAGATTATAACAAACCTTCCCTATTCCCATATGTTCTCCCTTCCTTCTGGCATTTGGAAACTGGCAGTATAAAGATGGGAAATACAAATGCAGGGAGGAAAGTTTGTTCCCAGTGGCAGTGATGCTGCTTCTGCCGCTCTGGTGTAGACTCTTGGCCTCACTGATATCCCCAAGATGGTCCCCAGATTCAAAGTGCTCCATAGTGCTCCACAGAGAGCAGGGATATGTTCCAGCTAGAAGCTGGGGCATAAAATTCTCTTGTGGTTGAGCTTGCAAGCATTGCCTGATCCCATTGGCACACTGATTACTGAGAGGAGTGCTGCTGCAGTGCTTAAAAAATATATATATTTGTGGCTGCCATGGTGTTCCTGAGCTCACCATCCATACCTGGCACTAGAGTCTGTGTTAAAAGATATATGGGAAGGGTCAGGGAGCAACATAACCGCGCAGTGGCATTCTTGTTGTTTGGGGCCCAGTCAACAATAAATGTATCAATTCTTGACAGAGTCCATATTCTTCTCTGCTGATTGGGCTGCAGTGAAGAGAACGAAATTATTCTTGCTTTTATTTTGGTGTTTAGAGAAAAAAAAACTACAAAAAAACGTAAAGGTCTACTGCCACTTCAAATTTCATGTGTACTACCCCACTATCCTTAGTCCCACATATACTGAAGGAGGGCAGTGCAAGGCTTTCAAAATGCTCTCTGTGAGTGAGTCAGGACCTCTACCGAAAGACTACCATCAGCTCAGGTTGGTTGATCATTCAGGTAAAAGCACTGTACAGCACAAAGTGAAGCTCACTCAACATCTGACATGTGGATGATGGCACCCTCTATCCCCTGTCTTACT